TGAAGAAAATGGCTTATTGTCTTGTGGGTCAAGGCAAAACTGGACCCATTAATGAATTAACCTTCAGACCTAAAGGAAATGCTGAAATTGAGTTATTAAGTCAGCAGTCTAAGAAATAGCAAAGAATCTCAAAAATATATGAAATGGTTTATTTGTATAGCAGCTTTCATGATGCATTTTAAAACATAAAACAGAACGAGCACAGAGTAACAGAAAGGTTACGTACATTAAAATGCTAAACTCACTTAAACCTCTTTAACACATATCCAGCTCCTGGAAGATCTCTCAATCAAACTAAGATCACCACTAAGTGGTTCCAGTGGTGAAAACAACCTGATGGTGACAGTCCTGTAACTCTGCTGCATGTTGTGTCGTTAGCTAATAAAAACCATGTTGACGCTTCAGCCGCACACAGGCAGGTCACTGTTGTCAACTCAGGTTCTAGTTGTATGATCCTGCTGCTTGTTTTACCCGCTAGCTAACACCGAACATGCAGCGTTGGTTTCCATGTGAAACTCTCTCGTGCTTTAGCTGAACGTCTCTGTTAAATCACAACTCAAACCCGCAGACAGACAAACCCACCATCAGCCGGTGGAGCACGTTTAGTTAGCTGTGCTCCACGGACCGTTAGCTAGCTGCTAACGCTAGCACGGTGAAGCTAGCGGCAGATGTAGTTACCTCTCTTCCTCTCCCGCTTGACTTGCAGCTGTTTCTTCTTCTGCTTGTTGGTAAATGGCTTTTTTCGGGGCATGTTTGTAAAAAATAAACGACCTGTTTAATATAAATGTTTCTCTGTACACTGTGTGTCGCTTCCTTCAGCTTTACCAACTGACGTTATTTACATGCGTGAAGTTTCTCGACTCCTACACTTTCCAGTGACGCCATATCCACTGCAGAGAATGGTGGGCGACACCACGGCGAGGCGTCTCCAAACCCGCACTCATCTGGATCATTCTGGCTTCATTTAATCCTTCCGGTGTACAAATGGCTTTTTTAAAGAGTTGACTAACTTCACTTTGAGAATCATTACAAACATTTACTGTGTTTACCGTCCTCTTTATCTAACAGTAACCCCCCCCCTCCTCTTCAGTGGTACGGTCCACTTTTGTAAACACCTCACACATTTGCACATTCCTGCAGAGCAGAGGCTGAAGAGCAGGAACACACCTGAGCCCACAACAGCATCATTAAGTCACATAAGATCAACATGCATCACATAAACAACGTGATGTTTACCTCTGTTTAAAGTCACATCCATCGAAAAGATCATCTTAGTTCTACTTTGCAGTACCACCCACACAGCAGTGACTCTTTTATGCAATCATCTTTGAATATTTATATATCATACTAATTTATCAATCAATCCTTTTTAATCTGCATTGTTTTTCTCCTTGTTTAGTTTGAGATTCCATTGTTTTTATTCCATTTTTATTTATTTGCTGCTTTTGCTTAGTTTTTAGACACTAGTGTTCCTCCCGGGACCTCAGTACTTGTTTTCCCTCTCAAAAACTAAAAGGTATAAACATGAATGGATGCAGAGCTGAGAAAATATGATCGATGAATAAATGTGCTGATCGACATAAACATTTATCAAATGCAATTTTGTGGCCTCTCAAAGATTCAGTGTGTTAGATTAAGGTGAAAGGGATATATAGGCAGAAATTGATCATATAATAATACTGGTGATGTTATCGATAGTGTTTCATCTAATTGTAAGAGTTGTTGTTTTCTTTACCCTAGAATGGGCCTTTATATTTACATCAGGAGTAGATCCACTCCAGAGGGTGCCATGTTTTTTTTTTTTACAGGGTTAGGGTTCCAACCTGGACAAACCTTTTGAGTTTTTATGGTTTTTGAATACTTCTGACATTTTGTAGACTGAATAAAAGCTACTATGGCAAACAATTATTACCTCTGTCATAGGTTATGTTTTCACACGTTTTTTTACTACCAAACGGATTACCACAGAATTTGGTGGAAGGATGAGGTATGGGTCAGGGAAGAAGCCATCAAATCTTTTGAGTCTTATCTTTATGGGTAGATCTAAATAAAAATCTGGATCTAGTGAATTTAAATGTTGGTTAATGGTTATATGCTGATAAGCAAGGCAACAGATGTAATAACAACCAAAAAGATAATTTGATGAGTCAGAATGGGGGTACAAACAACAGTACAGATAAAGATGTGGGTATAAATGCATGACAGTAAAAAACTTGCAGCAAACTGGGACAGAAGAAAAAAAATATGCTGATGAGAAAATTTCAGAGGGTTTATTGTATTAAAAGCAGAAAATCCCCATAAACGTCAGATGTGTCAGTATGTCTATAAAGAAGTATTATAAATGTTATTGTGGTAGTATAATAGCAGGTACACGTTTGTAACATAACTTTTAGGACATACACACAAAGCAGTACAATAGATTAACATGAAACGTGAACTGGCACATTACTCCCCTGAATGTCATGTGAAGGCCTGTCAATGGGTCTGAATAGGTTCCATGGATTTAAACACTATCATTATTTATAAACTGGTAGTGTGTGTGTATATATATATATAAATATATATATATATATATATATATTCACACACTTGATTGATATTTTTCCTTCCTTAAAAAGAAATAACCTCTACATCCCTTTTCAGGTCAAAAAGAATGAATTGGATCCGTATATTACATAACAAAATAACAGTAACGACACGAGTAAAAACTGTAATGACTGTATGAAAGTATAAAAATTTACCTTCACAGTTAACTGCCAGTTTCATTAACAGAGAGACCATAAATTGCTATGGCCAAAGCTGTGTTTGTAGGGAAGAGCAGGAGGTGATAAAACAACAGAAGTACTGTTTCTTTGACTCCCTTCCTATTGTAAAACCATCACTGTGATGGACTGAATCATACTTTATTGCAGCTTTTACATGCATTTTATACTAAGACAGGACAGCTAAGCAAAAGGAAAACAAATCAAACAAGGCAGAAAGAAAATAAGAGACAAACTAAAAAAATAAATCAAAATTATAGCCTTCAGTATTCTGTGTCACCACTATAATTTGTCCTGTCTGCCTCAAACCATCGTTCAGGCACAGTCACATGATCCAAAGTTCTTGTTTCACCTTAGTATTGCTTTTATCCTTTGACTCGCCATCCTCCATTTCTTGCATTTTTGAATTATTTCTAATTTCCAAATCCCCCACACTCCCTCGTTTCATCACCTCTAAGAGTTGAGGTGCTCTACTTGAATGGTGGATGCTGACACAGTGAGACAGAGGTCCTTGTGAGAAGTAAGGTCAGCCACGCTGACTGGTTTGTACTGGATGTCACTGGCAGACACTGTCTTATACTGGTGAAGGTCAAACGGACAGGGTATGTTTTCTGTCTGAGGGTAGTTACTCTGGCTCTGTCCCTGCTGGCCTCCACCCGCTCTTCCATTTCCAGCTCCCCCAGAGCGGCTCGATCCCCCATCTGCGCTCTCTACTCGGTTCTGAGCTCCAGCCTGGCCCTGGTTCTGGTTCTGTTGTGCCGACTGCGCTGCCACGACTGCTGATGCAGTCAACTGGTCTGGGTTGTGTTTCTCCATGTGTTTCACCAGATACGTCTCCTGAGATGAGGGGAGGATAGATAGAGGGAAACAGTGGACACATGACTACACATAGTAAAGTAGCTGCCAGGTGTCTGATGCCAGTGACAGGATTCATAGTGTTTCATGTAGAAATGCTCTTCAGAAATATGTCTTACTGAGGTATAAGTGCGGTTGCAGAGACCACAGGAGTAGATCCGGGCGTGTTTGACAGTGTGTGTGGACATGTGCACCTCCAGGCTCGCTGCATCTACGTATCCTTTATTGCAGTTGGTGCACTTGTAGGGCTTGTCTTTGTTGTGCTGACGCCGGTGAGACTGAGAGACAAAGACATAAGATAAAGGTAAAATAGTGTCATAGTAACAGTTTAGTCTTCAGGAAATAACAGACATGACATATAGTGCTTGACCAGAAATCTAAAATCTTTCACACCTGTAAATTTGAGAGTTGCGTGAAGGACTTCTCACAGCCTGGTTGAGTGCACTTGTACGGTCGATCTCCAGTGTGAATCCTGTATTAAAAAGGACAAACACACTGGTACGTACACACACTCCTATCCCTTTACGGGTGATCAACACCGACAGCGAATAGACAGTTGAGAAACCCAAGAGCAATGACTGACTTACCTGTTGTGTTGCTGAAGGTGACTGAGCTGTCTGAAGCACTTTTGACAGAAGGAGCAGGTGTAGGGTTTCACTCCAGTGTGGATACGGACATGTTGGGCCAGGTAGCTAGAGTTGGCAAAAGACTTGGTACAATGGTGACACTTGTGAGGCTTTGACTCTGTGTGATTCCTGATGAGAGCAGACAGGAGGGTGAGAGAGAAGAAACATGACACGTTTTGCTTTCATTCATTTCTCAAAACCTTTCATGACATACATCCCTGTAAAAACATGTTTGGACACTGAACAAACATCAGTAAAAAAAAAATCTACAATAACACGACATCAACAAAACTTGACTCTTATAGTTCAGGACCTGCTTTTAGTTTAAGATATTTGAAATGTACAGGTGACCAATCTAATAAAATACATTTACACATGATAATATCTAGAATATATTTTGATTTATTAATTTGAATTCATGAGTGAAAATCAACATGCCTCCAGAAATGAAAACTGATTTAAGGACACCACAAAAAAAGCAACAGCATGAAAGTAGAGCATGGCAGCAAAGGATTTCTACTGAGCATCATCATTCAATGGAGAAAGTCAGAAAAAGCCGACACGATGGAATTCATGGGTAGCTCAATGGAACTAAGTCTGCATCAAGGTTTTCATTTCAGCATGTATTTCTAAATGTGTACGTGTGTGTTTCTGTGGTAGAAGCACTGGCAGAGGAAATGACAGAACATGCAGACAGAAGGTAAAGGTGTTAAGTGCAAACGCTACACAAAGGCAAGAATTGTGCACAAACACACACACACAAATGAAAAAGAAAGAACAGGTCAAATATTCTCATTGTTTCAATTCGTATAAGAGCTCCATGCATTTTTAATGGCCATTCTGATTAGTGTATAAATTATGAAAAATCTTTTTATGGATGAAGCCCGACTTAAAAGGTGCGATTTGAATTCTAATTTTACGAAAAGGTCACTTCTGGTTGGAAGTGGAAGCATGCGAGCCAACATCTACATGGCAGTGTAATATGCATCTGCACACCACTCCGCTCTCTTCCCCAGGAGGAAGCAGAAGACACGAGTGCGGGTTTCAAGGAGGAATTTGGCAGGACAAGTTAAGACGACAGGGAATATGGTACGGGGTTGGTAACAGGGGGAAAAAAAGGTGGGGGGGAGGGGGGTCTGCAGTACCGTGTGTGCTGCTGTAAATGACTGAGCTGCCTGAAAGATTTCTGGCAGTAGGAGCAGGTGTAAGGCTTGGCCCCGCTGTGGATGCGGATGTGCTGGGCCAGGTAGCTGGAGTTGGCGAATGACTTGGCGCAGTGAGGACACTTGTGAGGTTTGGCCTCTGTGTGCGACTTGGAGTGGATCTGCATATCAGACTTACTGAAGAAGGTCGCCGCACACATCCGGCACCTACAGGCGGAGAGACACAGAAATGGGGGGAAGGGGCGGGATGGAAGAACAAGAGGGAAGAGAAAGGAAAAATATACCAAAAAAAAAAAAGATACAAGAAAACAAAAGGAATATGAGAGAAGGGAAGAGTAAGGAGGGGGCGACGGAAGGAGGGAGAGGAAAATCAAGCAATGGTCAACAGAAAGAGGTGAGACAAAAAACAGAGAAAAGAAAAAATGAGTGAGAGAAAGAAATCAATGAAGACAGAATTCGGCTCGGTCAAACGTAAGGGACACATAAACACAGGGAAAGATGTAAGGGGAAATATCAGTGAAAATTGAAGGGGAAAGGTACGTATATAATAGATAAAGTGAAAGAGCAGGAGACAAGAGTGCTCCAGAGATCACAACTGACAGAGCATGCTGTATAAAGACAAAGAGGACAGCAGAGAGCAGGTTCATGTCCAGTGTGCGCAAAAGAGCATCTACGTAGCACTGACGTATTTGCACCACAAATACATTAAGAGAAGAGATTAACTGTCCACTACGAAGCAGGCAGCTTCTGCCACAACATGCAGTGAGGTGTGTTTAGAAGAGGTGTCTGGATGTGTGTCAGATGCTTCTATCCAGCAGCGCCAAGTTCACTTATAAAAGCACAACCACTCTATGCTGATTTCAACTGGATACAGAAGAACAGGTGTGCTTGCATTCCACAGCTAGAGCAGAGAGAAACAGGGATAAACAGCGGATGTTGCTTTTATCTTTCGCAGTGTACCTGTACGTCTTAGCGCTGTCTTTCTGGCCGTGGTATTCGTCTTCATTTAGGTCATATGGGTCTCCACTGTGATGCTGCAAAGATGCCACCTAATAAAAAAAAGATATATATTAAAGTCTTACTTATCCGATCACAATATACTTATTTTTATTTATGACGCACTTTTAAAACACAGTTACAAAGTGCTTCACAATAAGCAAGTCCATATATCTTATCTTATTATCTTATTATATAAGTATATAAATAAACAGTCCAGATAAAATCAGCGGATTGTATTGTGACAATTCAAATCGTCATGACTTTATCATTTTTATTATCTTAGATTTACATCGCTTATTTTCCTACCTGGCCACCAGCTGTGAGATGTGCCAGTACAAGTGTTTCATTTCCAGGACCGACCCTGGACAGTGTCGTCACCTTCTTCTTTCTGCCTCGTTTCGAGGGCGCTGGCATCACGACCACGTGGGACATTCCATCCGCTTCTTTTTTGTCTGTGACAAAATCAAAAGCAGAACGTTAAGATAAAATACTGGACTTGCCTCTTAGAAAGTCTCAATCAGATATTACTGATCTGCTGCTTATTTCAAAAGGACAAATTTATTGATGAAGGCATGTAAATGAAAATCTCAAAATGTGGCTTCCGAGAACAAATACATTATGGGCAGCCCATCACAATACCTCTCATATGGATTTTGGGGTTTTACTCTAAGGGATAGAACAATAAATTACTAACAGCCTTGATGAGAAAGTATTTGCTGCTGATACCGTGGTTCTTTTATTTGCACATCCTGAGATCAATATGTGCTTTGAACTCAAAGAGCAAGCAAAATAAAATTAAACTGTATAACTTCTCACAGCTCTGATCATGTTTGAAACAAACAATGTGGAAAATTAAATTCATCCACCCAATTATTCTGGTCCCTTGTTTAAAGAAATAATGCTGCACTGAAACTATAAATTGCAAACAAAATGTGTGCTTGTGCAAGGATTTATTAAATGAAGGTCAGTTCTGTTGAAGGGAAGCTCTAGTAAGGGTTTCACTATTCTCTGCATATAATCTGAATGTTTACATTTATACGCATGTATGCCATTATGAGTAGCTCACCTGTCGAATGGAGTGCTGACACGATCATGGTTGTTGCTGGATGACCGGAGACAAACGACTGAGATGAGGTGGGAGAGACTAGCGTTCCCTGAGGAGTTGTGATGACTAGACCCGCTGTGAAGTAAGAAATAATCACACTTTACTAAAGGACAGTGTCACATCCAAGAATTAAAGTTGATAATTGTGGAGAATTTTCTCTCTAAGTATACAGTTTGAGACGAGCAATGTCCTGTTCAAGAATCTCAAGAATTTCGTTTCAATAGGTATTACCGACATGTTACGATAAATGGTAGTAAAGTACTGCTACGTTATTTGAGGGAAGCCCTGAGGATGACGCACAAGGTGACACAAACAGAAGCTCTTTACACAAAGTTGTACTAATCAAATAAATCCTTTAATTCATTGCTGTTAGATTATGATTCAGAATTTAACTTGGTTAGTATCTTAGCTCAAACAAAAACAGCCTCAAACTGACAAACGAGCCAGAGGTTTCTCCGAGCAGCAGCAGACTCACCTGCTGTCATGATGCCCGTGGAGGGGACAGGCAGCACTGTGATGTTCTGGGTGCTGTGAGGAGGGTGGAGGTGTGCCCCACTACCAGCCTGCCCTCCTCCATCTGTCTTGGCCCCAGAAGTGGGGATGGTGAGAAGAGCTGTCTGATAGTGGGATGTCGATGAAGGAGGGAAGGAAGCATTCTTTTCCTGCTGCTCCTTCACCTTGTTCAGGAACATGGCATTCTCAATCTGTCGGGGGGGGATTTTGATTAGACATTGATTCGACTGCACTGGGCCCCTGGAGTGATGGCTGTTTTAAAACACTCTTGGTACAGCTAGCTACTGAAGTACTGCAAAGCCTATGAAGAATGAGGATTTGTGTTTTGTCCAGTCTCACCTGTCCTGGCACAGTGGGGATGGGGGACCAGAAATATGACGAATTAAAATGAGAATCTTCCATCATTTCTGCAATAACACAAAAGAGCACAAATTAATATCTTCCCTGACTCGACAGAAATGCCAGCACTACAAATACGCAATCAACAGGCCACAGGACAAAGCAGTTAAAGGCCCAATCGATCTGTTAACAAAAGAGAAATATCACAGTCTGACTTTATGACTATTTACAAAAGTTGGAGTTTATTGTGCTGATGTGGTAGAAGGAAATATTAGAAAAACCTTTTGGCATAAGGCAATACAAAGCAACAGCATCACAAACTATAGCTGCCAAAATGCCCATGAAGTTGAATCAGTATGTCTGTAAAACAAAAACTGAGCATTAGAACCGTCATCGTGGTTTAGTGTTACTGCAGAGCTGCTGTATAGACTAAATTAGCTTTAGCTAGGTGTAACTAATAAACCGGAAAAAGAACATTATATTACTACAAACATGATTTAGAAATAGAAAGAAATACTCAAGTGGCCCATTCCTCTGCAGTCTCAGTGAGTCTGGTGATGTCCCACACCTGCAGGGAGATCTTTATCCCTTATGATCAAAACACCAGCAGGAATAATGAAAGTTAGGTTTTAATATAAGGCCGCTCTTTAAGATTCAAGGTAGTAAAATGCATAGGTAATATCAGGTAATAAGGACGGAGCTGCCTCAAGGCCTCGGAGTATATTCAGTTGATTTTGCACTTTGTTGGTGCATACTCAGAATTACAATATGCCCTTTTCTCAAGTCATGGCTGTTGGACGGTGATCAACATGGACAAGGATCCTGAAATTGAAGCTGCTGTTAACATCTATGATTTCACTACTGTTAGATGTCAATAAAAATGTTTTCATTGAGATGACCAAAAACTAAATGTAACACAAGCTGTGGCAGAGGAGACGGTCTGCCCAGATCACAGTGAGGCTTTGAGGCCCATGCCCTGTACGACCCAACTGGAAGAACCAAATATAAGAACCATCAACAGGTAGACTGACTGAGAAGATGAATTATGAAAGATTAAGTAACGAACTAATCTGATCAGGCATGATCAAGAGAGAGAGAGAGAGAGAGAGAGATCATCGATATGGCTGGTTAGCCTCTGGGTTAAGGCTCATTTTAGTTTTAAACAGTCGTAAACTCACGGATGTAGATTAAAAAGTTTGCCCCTGGGGCTCCTGAGACGGTTTGTCCAGATCATAGTGAAGCTTTGGGACCCACGCTGCCCTGTAGGACCCAACTGGAATATTTAAATACAAACAAGGAGATGAATCAGAAAGCTTTAATCACTAAATAATCTGATAAGGCGTGATAGAAAGAGAGAGAGAGATATAAAACCATATGGATATTTAACTCTTTTAATCTCGTTTTAAATGCTTTTTTTTGGTATTGTCTTATGTTGCTTCTACAATTTGTCATGAAGCCTTTGATATTCTTTGCTCAGCACCTGAGATATTTAATAAACTTACCTCAAACACAGAATGAACATGTTAGTCTCTGACGTTAGGGTTCTAATTGTTTTACACCGTCGTAAACTAGTAAATGATTAGAGATCATGCACCTGGATTATTTATACCATCGTTTGTGGTCAACTTTCATTTCTGGACATCCCGTTTTTATGGTTTTGAGTGCGGACCCGCGGTCATAAAAATAATGTTGTGTTATTTACATCCGGCCCAGCTACTTAGCTCTTAGCAACACACACGAACAGACGTGTGTAACTTTGATAAAACAGCTCATATCGGACACATGTTTTCAGTGCAGCTCCGCAGCAGGACTCCATTTCTGCTGCTCGCATGTTGTGGTAAATCAGGCCTGATCATCACAGTTAGCAGCTCAGTGTGTGTCCGTGTGTGTGTCCGTGTGTGTTTCGAGAAAAATAACAAGAGGAAAAAAACCCAAAGGATAAAAAAAAAAAACTGAAGCGAAGGGAAAAAAAACCCCAGCAGACCCTCCTCACACACTTCCGGCTGTGGAGACGGTGAGAGGCGGCAGCAGAGTCGCTCAAATGTGCCTGAAAGAAGACAAGTAAGTGCGGGGAGGATGGCGGCGTTTACCGGAACCGATGAGTCCGTCTCCCCGCCCGGAACTCCTGTGCGCCGGGACGCTCTGGACACGGTTTCCTTACGTCTCCAAATTCCTGCAAACCGATCAAGTTTTTTTTATTTTTTTACCCCCTCTTGGTTTTTTTTTTCTCCTCCGGTCAGCGGCCTCGTCTGAGCTTCACTTCCTCCGGATAAGGTCGTCAGACAAAAGGAGGCTCTGCTGTGACGCCACTTCCTGTTACCGATCGTTTTTTTATCAAAATGTGTAAAATAATCCATGTGACGCGTCCGCTGATCGGAGCCACAACATCTGTACAGATGTGACCGGAAGTGTTTGTTTGTTGTGTTTGAGTTTGTTGTTTGAAACGTTTCAGCTTCAAGCTGTGATGGAGGAAAGCGATGAGACCTTCACGTGCTGCAGGACACAACACAGGCCCTGCACACACCTGGTGTTCACATCTGCCCCGAGAGATCCGATCGCAAGTGGCCAGCGATCGAGTGTCCTGAAGCAAGACACTTAATCAATCAATCTATAATTTAATCATGTAATCAATCAAATTTCATTTGTATAACCCATAATCACACGGGGGTGGGGGGCATGTAGACACCTCAGAAAGGGATCCTTTCCCCAGGATGAACAGAAGTGCAATAGATGAGAACATAAACAAACTAATAGTATTACAACATTGATTACAAGCACCAGTCTCAACAGTATTAATTAATAGAGTTGTGAATGAATTGAGGAGTTATTGTCAGTAGTGGTAGAATATGTGAGTTAACGTATTGTATATCAACCAATCTTGTTTTCTTTTTTCTGTGTTTCGTCTTATATATTTTATATTTTCCTGTTGTTGCCCAAAAAAAAAAAGAAAAGAAAAAGTTAGTCAGTTTGATTTTACGTTCAAATCACATTAACGACTCTGGAAGCTGAAAATTACGAGCTGACAGAGCGGCAGTTGAAGGCATCGCGGCTGCTCACTGTGTGTCCTCCAGAGATCAGCGCACGAGCCAGAGTCACTCTCAGGTCGTGACGTGTCAATAAAAACCAAACCATCAGCTCTCCTCAACACACACACGTGTCCCTGCGAATGAATGATAAATATGTACAGTCATATTCAATGGAAACAGTTGTTTTCAAGGCGATACCTTAAGTGATCGCACGGTGGCGCTGCATAGACAGTTATACACGTCTAATGTATCGTCAACATCCGGCGACACGTCCTCCTCACGCACCGCCGATGATCTGTGCGGTACATTGAACTGGTTTACCCTTTATTTATTATTTATTAAGCCGTAATGTTGTTTATTTGACACCGAGGCTCAGGTCCCTCAGTTCAAAGTGTCGATTCTCGCCTGTGGAGAAGCTCAGTGCTGCAGATGGGGGAGGTGAGGAAGCTGCAGAAGAAGTTGAGACAGATTGAGAATCTGGAAATAAAGATCAGTCTCAGCCCAGAGGAGAGAATCAAGGTACAGGACCAACACGTCCTCTGACTTATTCTGTTTCTTATCGTGTCGTTGATTGTGATCAGCGGATCAGATCCTGAATAGGTTTTAATCACGTGTAACAACAGGTCGTGACTGCGGCTCACACACAGTTTCAGTGTAAACTTTATAAAGAAGACAGAAGAGTTTCATGTTCAAACATCTGACGTGGTTCATCACATTAATGTGCAGAGAAGCTAAGCTCACATGGTTAAATAAAGCTGATGTTTATGCAGATGTTTTATATATATAACGTTGTAAAGCAGGGCTTCTTCAAGCTATAACAGTGTTGATATCATACACAAGAGAACGTGGAAATAAAATAAGTTATTAAAAATAATGGAGGGAATAATTTGACAGCTTTTGCCTGAGGAAGCCAGAAGATCAGATTTTCACAACTTGAGAAAAGTGTGTCACGAAGAAAAGAATCATCAGGAACTTCAGCTCCACTTTGTTTAAAGGCAGTTTTCTCAATGTTTAGTAGATTTCTTCACTGAGCAGGAAAATGAATACACACACATCAGGATAATTGGCAGTGAAGGTTAATGGTGTAGTTACATTTACTTTGTCTTAACTTAGTATGTTATGAAGTAAGAATAAAGTAATGAATAATAAACAAGGTAACATTGTACTTTATTCACAGTGGACTATCTCCTTATCAAAGTCAAATGAAGACAGATTTTTATGTGGTGGGAGAAAGT